TTTCAGATAAATAATGCATTTAGCAGCTGTGTTCATTTTTGTACTTCTCCACATGGATTGCGAGTTTAGGGTGCTGAATTATTTGATTAACACACAGATGGTAAACATGAGTAAGTGTATGCAATAGAAACTTACTGTAAATGTAAAACCCAATTAAAAATCCTAGTAAAGCTATATGCAGATTCAGAACTGATGCATTATTATGCCTGTTCAACAAAGGACGTGCAAATCCAAGCATCGGAAATAAAGTAAAAGTAGAGTCTCAGAGCTACAAATTTGTATGTTATGACATGTGCAAAGGATGTATATTATATTTCAGCATGTGTAATACCTTAACACTGTCTCCACAGTATTGCTGCTGCCAAGTTTGTTCTGAGCCAAAATAACTACAGATAGAAACAGAAATACTGTATATGTAGACAAAGACAATATCTGGAAGAAGAAGCAAGACACTTCAAAAAAGCCAAATCAAAGATACCGTATTCTTTGAACAGAATTATTCAGTACCTTGATAAAATAAGAGCACACTGGATAGATGAAGATATGATCCGGTAAAGAAACCTTATTCTTAACACTAGTCATGTGTACAGCTTGCTAAAGGCTAAGCTGAGATAATACACACCTTTTCAAAAACATTTCAGGAGTTTTTCAAAATGGTGTCCTGGATAGTCAGAATTTATCCCTTCCAGTACAGATAAAGAAAAAAAAAATCCATCAGTTTGAAGATTTGTATCCTGACACAAGGATTTGTATTCTGGCTATCCAATAGTCTTGGCCATCTGGTTCATCCTATTTGCAGAACCTACACTTTTGTGGACTCTGATGTGCTCTTTTTGATAGACAAACACAGAAGGTAGGGTCTAGAGGTTTCTTCTCCTATAATTGAAGGTAGTTACTACATTTTTGGTGATTTAACGTGCTGCTCTTGTGCTCTCAGCTGAGTTATGCTACAAAGAATTCTGATTAAATCAGTCGATCATTATTAAGTTGGGTACCCAGTGTTAATTTTTTGCTATAGTGTATGACTGCTTGATTCTTTGCTTCTGCAGACAATTTTTTTACAAGTCATAGTTTTCTCTTGTCCAAAGGAATATTTAGGCAATTTTGAAAAGGCAAATGTGAAGCTTGTTTCAGAAGAGCATCTTTAAACTACGCTTCTGGGTCCTTGGTCCCTACTACCATGGTTTAAAAGAATGTCCGCAGCATTGCTAAGCAGATTCTCAGCTGCCTTTTAGGAATACATTCTACATTTCCCAAGCCTTTCCAGAATGCTGAAAATAGCCTTTTTTTCCAATACTACAATATTTATTATTCATTTTAAGTACAAATGAATGAATTACTGGTCATCCCCTTATAGCACTGAAAATGCAAAATACAGAACAAGGAAAAAGGCTAATTCAGAGCTAACTACTAAATGAACTTACCCTTAGGAAAGGGTAACTGTCTTCTCTTGTGAGATTCAACAACAGGGATTTTGTGGTTTGAACTACTTCTCAACTACTTTTCCTAACACAGCAGCATGAAGGTGTTAGCTTTCACTTTCTTTTCTTTTTGAAAATAAATTGTGGTTGCCACACTTCTGGCTGAATGTTTCCTCAGCTAGGGGTAATTCCTTGTGACAATGACAGACTTCTATCTTTTGGGAAAGGTGAGGTGATGCTGGCATGCTAAGTCAGGTAGTTGCTTGAAATTTAAGAACACCTTGAAATAAAATGAACAGCCATGCCTAGAAAAAATCAGTGGTATTTAGTTCTTGGCTACTTGGGGTAATACAATTCTATATCCATTCCTAGTGGTATATGCTAACTTATCTTCTTGTTTTAAGCTGTTTTCATTAGATGAAATAGAGTGTGTCAGGCCTTAAAGCTTCTAGATAATAGGACATGGCAGTTTGTCATTTAGGACAGAAATAACTACTGCTTCACAGTCAGAATTCATTACTGTCAGAGTAGATCCTGGTTTTAGTTACCATGTACACAGCTGACAACATGCTATATCCTCTGCATTTGAGAAGACTTGCATGTATTTGATAAATACACTGCAGGTAAGGACTTCGTGCTCACAGTCCTATGGGGGTTACTACCTTGGGTGAAAGGCATGAAAACTCTAACACAAAATTTATGACTGAGGTCAGAAGCATTCATACTTGACAGTCTAGAGTCAGATGGAATAATTTTTAATTCTGTATGGTGAGCAAGATGCGTAGGTCGTTGTTCTTCCAGGTATTTAATGAACTTGGTTGTCTTCAAAATCCAATGAAAGTTCAGAGGTATATTTGAGATACCCAGTGATTTTCAGATAATGGAAATGACCTATGCCAATATGTTTCCAAAATTTTTGATTGTAAATGTATTATCAGTGGAACTGAAAATACCAAAGCAACAATTGGAATTGCAGAGAGCATGTGTTAATTTATTTTTACCAACCAAATTTGTGAATACAATGTACAAGTCTAATATGCTTTGACATCCAGGCCCAGAATAAGAGCCCACAGATATGTCAACATTACATTATATGGAACAAAAACATGCTTGTTGAGATCGATGAGAAATTTTTTCATTAGTGTACTACAGTAAAAGATAACTACTAACAGTCTTTTGCTCTGCACAAGCTGTCAGAAGTTCCCATAGATCTGGGAAATGGAGAAATAATAATAATAATGGAGCACTAGCAGTTTTCACTTATTCATTCAGCCCCGGAAGGAGGAGATCTGCAGAGCAGCTTCCCTGCAATCTATTGACATCATGGAAAACAAAACTTGAATAAAAGTAATGAAGGGGGTATCAAGCCTAATAAGCAGAGGATAATGAAAATCACGAGCTGGCCAAACTGAAGATTAACTCCTACAGACAAGGACAAATCATTCAAGGTGGGTACAAAAGGCTGCCCACAGTCATTGTTCTTGTCCAAAATCCACAAAAGGCTTTAGTAACAGATGCTTCAGATATCCTGGGTACTAATGTTTTGGCCTGAAGAGTCAGGCATTTCAGTAACTGCAAATATAGTCCCCTGGGTAAAAACATGCCTTGCTCCTTGCTGTGATTTGTAATAATCTTGTTTATTCCACAAACCAAGGAGAAAGAGGAGATGCCAGCCTTCCTCCATCTAATGTGGAAGCCTACCCAAGTCACCACCTTTTGGGTGAGGCTTCACAACACGGCTTTCCCCTTAAAATTGAGCTGTGTGTAATCTCAAACACAAGAAATGCAGGGAATGTTTGGCATTATGGTTTCTTTTGCAATAGTTATTTCTGTGTTTCTTAGTCACCATATATATATATATATATATACACTTTTTTTTTTTTTTTTTTAAGTAATACTGATTGCATGTAAAATGCATGAGCTAAGATGCTGGCAGTGAGTAGAGCCAAGTGTTCTCTCTCAGACAAGGTTGCTCCTGGCTTTCTATTGAGATTTACATTCTGCTGAGAAGGATTAATTAACACTTATTAATATTTCTTTGTTTGTCTCATCAGACTGAGATGAAGTTACAACCTTACTTAGAAAATATGCAGTAGACTGAGCATCATTTATTTCTAAAACAGGCAAAGCACTTTTGCTAAGCAAACCTTGGCAGAAGTCATCATCCCTCTTAAACATTCCACTTATTTGGCAGAACAAGAGGATGAACAGATGTAAAAATTACCAGTTTGGTGAAAGTTCTTAAAAAAAATATATATAATAGTACTTCTTGTCTGTATTTGTATATATTGTGAGGTACAGAGTTTTGCTTTTCCTTTCCGTTTTACTGGATTTCTAGCATTGTGTAGGTTTTGATGAGTTTACAAAACCTTTAGGCTTTTGATAACATCTTTTCAAAATCATGTGCTTCTACAAAAATCTTCCCAAGTTTCTGGTCATCCAAGTTAAATTACAAGACAAGACTCATACTAATAAACTTATTTTTGCATTGTCAAAAGCAATTCTTATTTCTTCTACACACTCCTAGGCCTCCCAAAAGCCAAATCTTTTGCCACTTCCCCTTCCCCTGCTGAAGCAGTCTTTGCACTCTCTATACCTCTTTCCTCCCAATTCCTTTCAAGCATATACACCTCAAAGCCACATTTGTGGAACACCCTTTGAGGGCCCTTATTCTCCTCGGTCACTGAACATTGGCCTTTAGAAGGGCTTGGCTCTTCCCATTGACTGTGCAGAGCAGCCTCTGGCTCTCTCAAATCATCTTCTGACATCAGCCACATAATTTTGGGGCTCTGAAAGGCCTAAATGGGAAGCACACAAGCTTCAGAATCTCCTCATCCTTAATATTTGTAAGCTAGTAATAATTTACCTGTGTAATTCTAAGGGATGTTAAAAAGTTAACCTTCATAACAATAATGCATAAACCTTTGCAGATATGTAAGAACAGATACTCTGCTACTTACCACGAGAATTTTGTGACCAATTAGTTAGCATTAAAATGTGTATTAATTATATTGAGCAATTCAGGCTGTGGAAAGCAGCCTCTAAAAGGGAGGGAGATATGAATGCCAATTGTACTTACCACCTTGTATAAAAGTTGCATAATTTCTGCTGTTTACTTCAGACATGCAGCAAAGGTGGAAAAATCTGGGCACGGAGTGTTTACTATTGGAACAAAACACTCCAACAAGAAATTTGCCTGTAGAAGCAAGGTCAGCGTACTTTTTCATGGTTTATACTTGGCTGAAGCAAGTAAGCAGAAGCCATTTCGTCCTGAGTAATGCACATATATCTCTGTGATTCTGGTGTCATTTTTTGCTTTGTAACTATGCAGAAGATTTAGTTATGTGGGAAGCTATGAGAAAAAACAGCTGTCTGGCACACATGGTGGCTTATCTTAAAGTGGGAGAATCAAAGCGAAACTTGCACTGTTTGACACACTGATGTATTAAGCCTGCTGTTATCCAGATGTAAAAAAGATATTTATAGATTAACTGGTGTTAAAGAAAATATTAACTATTTACAAACTTAGGACACATTCAGGGTGGAAAAAAAAAACCCACAAAACTTCTGTAGCCTATTTCTAAGGCATTATATTATCCTTTGTTTAATGAAAGGACATAAGTTTACCTTTTCCTCTTTTGTTATTTTCAATAGAAAGACAAAATATGCACTTGCCCAGAGTACTAATGTTTATGTGAGGGTGAAACCCCCACACACTGACTCCTCAAACACAGGATTTAAAAGGCCCAATGCACTAATGTCATATAACACTCCTTCAGCATTATCCACAGGATGGATCAGCTTTTCATCCTGCTAGTTATGGGGAAAACTATAGCAGCTTGAATGCCATTGTATAGGAATTCTTGAGGGATGGAGAGTTTAAAATAATTTTTTGATGTATAACATTTGATGTTATTATCCTTCTTATGTCCTGCTAGAGGACGATGAACTTGCAGGATTTCTTTGAGTCAGGATTTCTAAAGGCAAAAGTTCCTGTGTTTGAAGGGTCCTTACTGTATACATCTGATGTTTGACGAATTTTTGCAGCAGCATAATCACAGGGAGATAGGATTAAATATGCTAAGCTGAACAGAGCACATTCGTATCGCATCCCCACAGTCATCAATAAAAAAGCAGCAGCTCTGGAAGCAGGAATGGTCCCTGGGATTATGCAGACTGCAGCCTGGTGGAGAAGCGTTATGTTTCATACATCTCACAGAGTTCTGAACTGAAAAGGTATTTGCCCACGGGACTCCGGAGGTGCGTGCATCTCTTCTTAGTGAGCTGTATATACGCACGTTGATAATAACCACACGAGGGCAGAAGAGATCAGACATCTGCAGACAGCAGCCTGATGTAAAAGAGGCAGCGAGTTCTGATATTTTTGTAAGGGGTTTTCTATATTTATCTATTCACACACATACACATCTGGAATTATTTAAATATAAATATATAGATAGAATACATGTACACAGTGAATATATATTTATAGTGTGCATTTGTAAATATGTATTTCTGGAAAGTATGAGGAAAATTAGTTTGGTTTTAATTTTGGATTGGCTTTAGTAGGGATCTGAGAATAACACAGACATAGAAAGACTTGAGCCATATTTCCCTCTCATGAAAGTAAGCTGACAGTGGTTTCTTCAGTCTTTGCTACTGTACAGGTAGGAGGCTGTGATTGAGTGAGACAAGGATCAAACTCTAAAATGGGGAAAACCATACAATCTTAAGGGCTTCTATGACCAGGGATACCCCCATTTTACTAACTTCAGGTGTCCTGTACTGAGCAACTGGATGAAGCAAGTTTTGGTCAGACCAAGCACAAGTCAAAAAAATGAACTTCGTTATTACTGATCTACAGAGTTACACTGAATACACAGTGCATACCAGTGTTTAAAATCTCCCAGCCTCACTAAATCAAAGTGATCTCAGATATGCTATTTATTTTTTATAGGCAGCCTTGTAAAAATTATTTGTCGTACTTGTATGTCTGGAACGTGTCAACAACACTGCAGGCACCGAACCAGCTGATAGTAATTGCTGGGGGGGAAGGAAAGAAGAAAAGAAAGAAGAATTAGGAGCAAAATTAACAACTGAATTATATGAGGAAAATTAAAAGAAGCTTAATTGAGCAGAAGACTGAGAGCCGCTTCCCCAGAAATCCTATCCCAGCTTGCCATCTTATTCCTTGTACAATGCCAAATAAATCTAACATTTCTGTTTCTCGTTGTTGCGAGGATTAATTAGTGAGAGGTTGCACAACAATTGGGAAAAAAATAAAATAACAGAAAATGCTGAGTATTGTTATGATGTGTTTGAAGCTCCCTGATCTGATGTGGGTGCACGTGGATGGCCTCTGCATTGCAAACTACATAGCAGCCATACTCTAACGGTGGTTGATTTCCGATTACCATTACATATTTAGAATAAGGAGAAAATAATTGTAATTCAAGTTTAAATTATGTTATAATTAAATTTAAGACACAAGTTGTGCTGGGTAAGCAACTTCTACCTTCTGTTGCTCTGTGGGGCACACTTGATAGCTCATTACTGCAGGGCAGCTGAAACACAAACAGCAAGAACCCATCAGTGCTTCAGACCTGCAAGCAACAACAGCTCGATCACCACAAATACTTAATTGCACAACTGAGGGAGAGATAACATGGTGCAAATATCAGCAACCTGATGCTAAGCTGTGTTCTCTGTAGTGCTTTTTGCAAGCAAGAGTAACACAATACGTCAGTGCTCACTGAGCCAAGGGTCTGAGCCTCCAGCCAGGAGGGCACGTTGCAGTACAGCACCCAGTACCTCTCCTCATCACCTGCTTGAAGCAGGAGGAGGACCAACGTTTCACACAGTCTAATAGAGACAGGATACGTGGGAATGGCTTCGAACTAAAAGAGGGGAAACTTAAGTTACATGTTCAGAAGAAATTCCTTACTCAGAGAGCTGTGAGGCCCTGGCACAGGCTGCCCAGAGAAGCTGCAGCTGCCCCATCCCTGTAGGGGTTCACAGGCCAGATGGAGCCGCGGGCAGCCAGGTCTGCAAGGGCAGCCCTGCCCGAGCCATTCTGGGATTCTGCAGGGAGAAAAGCAGCACTCCTGGCAGGCCCCAGTGACAACCAGAACCAGGCACTGGGATTGCAGGGCATGCCCTCTGATGTCTGTACTCAGAACCAAGATGTAGTCTGCAGTATTCAAGCAATTCAGCAGTTTACTTCCCCTCCCCTCCCCCCCCTTTTTTTTTCCCCTCCATTGTTAACTGCTCAGAAGAAATATGGATGAAGCATGGTTTGCACCAGTTTTGCTGGAGAAAAGCAGCCTTGTACAAGAGAAGCATTTCTTTCTCTCCCTCTTACTTTCTGGTCTCATCTTCTGCTACCTTAAGGAGCAACATACATATATTAGTATTGGGGACTTGCGTCTCAGCCTATAGTGATGACTTCTTTCTGAGCTCTTGACCTCGCCTAGACAGGAGGAAGATTTCAAGAAGTGCCTGTGATGAATCACCACAAAGCCACTGTCTAAACTGATCTCTCACAAACTCACTGAAGCTCTCAACTACTGCATTGATATGAACATAGCTGCTTCATTATTAAAAACAAAACAAAAACACAAACCATAATAAATACTGATTTTCGAAGTTCAAGTTGCCCTTAAATAATAAAGTGATTACTTACACTCTGGCTTCATTAAAGCTTAATTTTGTGGCTCCAGCTACCAGCCCACCACCCTCTCATCCACGGCTAAATAGATTTGCATTGGTGCATCCAATAACAAGAGTAACTTGACAATCTGCTTGCTTTAACAGCAGCTGAAAAGGATTATCCAAATGGATTTTTTTTAAAAAAATAATCTGGTTCTCTAATCACCTGAGAGGAGAAACCTACACAGTTTAGATGCATGATGTTTGCCCTTCCCACCAGCCAATAACAACTACGTGTGGCAACACTGGCAAACCCAATACAGCTGCTCTTGTCTGTAGGTGGACCATTTTTTTTCTAGAAGTTGGTCAGCAGTGTTGAATTGCTTTGATTTTATGCAGCAAAAGATGGTCAGTAACAAAGTCTGTACCAAACTCCAGCATCTCCTGAGCTTTTAATTATTTTAGTGACCAAAATGTTGGTTTGCAACCTAAGAGCTCTTGCTAAAATGTAATTGTAATGTGTAGCCTTAAAAATGTTATTAAAAAAAAAACAAAACACAACACAGAATAAAGATAAACTGGAAAAGTACTTTAATTCACAAAGGAAACGTAGAGAAACCTATTTTGTTGGTTAAGCACAATCGTATCCAAATGCAATTAAGAAAGTGTTGGAAAACTTTATGAAGAACTGTGTTAATTTCAGAGTTAACCAGAATCTGTGCTGGGACAGACTGCAGGTAGGGAGACAGTGGCTATGGGAGGCAGAAATGCTAAAGTGAGGGGAGGGTGAGCAGGCAAGAGGAGTTGATTTGTAAGTTTGATTTAACTTCTGTGCCTGGAGACACAAGGGGCAGGGAAGATCAATTTGTCTCTTAAGTGAATTAAAAATAATTAATTTGTCCATAAAACAAAATATGCTTTGATTTAGAATATATTTCTCCATTCTTTGTCTCTGTTTAAAAAATAGCCATTCTTCCAATGGTCATCAGTACAACAATATTCTTAATTAAAAATGCCAGTCAGAATTCTTTGGTAGGTCACATGAATATATCGTGCACATCAAGGAAAATGATACAAAAATAAGCAGGATAGAGGTGGTTTTCTGAAATTTGTTGGCAGCAGTCACACTTAACATGTACAGCTGCTGCTTTGCTGCTACCATGGGACACAGTTATTGCTGCCCTTCCGATAGCACAAGATTAAAGCAAGCATGCACTATCACTGATCAAAACATTAAGTTTGACAGCTCCTGTAAGGATGCCCTGCCAAAGCCTGTCAGTGACAGGGAAAGATACTTCAGGGCACTAATAGGACAAAAATGGAAAACAAAGGCTACAAGTAGGCTCTGTTCTAAAATGTAGGAAACTGGCTCTATGCACAGTTATTGCAGTGATGCTTCAAAATGATTTATCTGTCTGTTAAAGCAGGAACTGTTTCTGACATTAATATCTGGACTGATATTCAGATTAAGTTGCCTTCTATCTTTCCAATGAATTATTTAACAGATTAAGCTGCTTGCACTGTTTCTTTTACTAAAAATGCTAGTATTCAAATTTGATAGGATTGTACAGCCTTTCTGCCTTCTACATACCACTATTTTCTTCTTCAATAAATTCAAATTTGTTTTAGAGGAAACTACTTTTTGTATGAAACTGGTGAGTTTAAAATAAATATTCTGTGAAACGGTTTCCATCCACAATGGTTCTGAACACCTCATGCTCACACTCTTGCTACATATTTTCTTGTTAGTAATAGGAAAAAATATTTATTATTTTGTGCACATACTTCTGTATTTGTGTCCAGTTTAGGAGATCAAAGTGTTCCTCTAGGTTTCTGGCTTTCTAGCTTCCATTGGACTAGACTTTTGAGAGCATCCAATGGTGCACGTTATACACCCTGCATCTTTGTAATATGATCAAATTAATCTTCTTCAGAAACCAGCCTGGGAATCCAAAGTGGGAAACAGGGAGGGAAGACTCAGAGAAAAGCCAGTTCTTGAAGCATGCTTGCTCAGGCTCACGTAAAGCAATGTTCCCCTGCTGTTTGATCTGTGTGGGGATGACAGTAAAAATTACATGGAAGTTTCTTCTGTTTTGGTGGCAGTAAGATGAGCTCTTTGCAGGGCAGATGTCGGAACTTGACTCTGTCCTGTTGCTGCTGCTCTTCTCTCTTTTCACCTCTGCAAATCAGGGAGAGACTCCCAGTCACCTGTAGGAGTACAGCAGATTAATCGGTGGCAGTTAAGAACTAGGTTACTTCTTGAGGCTACTGGAGCTGCTCCCAGCTCACAGTTTGTAAAGGAGATCAAAAGCTGAACCTCTCATTTTGAAAAGATTAAGTTATTTGAAGTGTAGCTATTGCAGTGCACAAGACAGTTTGATATTGGTAAAGCAGTATTTTTTGTAAAGATGTCATGTGAAGAAAGACTGACTGAAATGCACCTATTCACTGGTAGGCTGTAATTTTGGGGATTTTTAGTATTACTTTGTTTTACCTTTTGCTTGAACAAGCAGTTGTGTGTGATGGATTTTGACAGAATCGGGGAGGATATTCTGAAAGGCAAAAATTATTTACATTTCACAGCTGGCTGAGTAGTGGTTTGTCTCTCAGTGCTGAATGTGGCACTGTGAATTCTGTCTCCAGCTCTTCTGTCCTAGCTGGGAGTCAGAACAGCAGCGTGGCTTTCCAGCCCCACTGATTCTGACAAGGAGCTCTTGGGAGGGTTTTCTATGGGAAATCCATGGGGAATTTGTGCCACCTCTTCAGGCTGCTGGTAGGAATAAAGGCAGTGTCATGCACTGTTCTGTGCTGTGTAAGGTGGGTGTCAGGAGTGTGATTTTTGAAAACAACCTGGCTGTAATTGTCTTAATAAAAAAGTGAAGTGATATCTTTACTGCCATTTTAAAGATACGGTATAACAGTATTTTCATAGAAAGAGAATATGTAAATTAAGTTGGAAACCTCAATGTTCAGTTTAGTGAAGTGAGTGGCACTGTTGGATTGCTGAGACCACTATGAAATTGTTGCTATTGGTTTTGTGGTGATGTAGTCATCTTGACCTGTGAGATGCTACTTATTCTACTGTTAAATCTACTTAGGTATATATATAATATATATATACTTATATATTATATATTTTATATATATACTTATATATATATAATATATGCCTTAAGTGACCTCATGTTTCTGTAGGAAGTCTTTTAAAGGAGTCTACTGAGTAGACTGTAACTGCATGAATTTAATCAAGAAAGAGAGATTTTAAAATATATAGTCCTTTTTTTCTTTTTCTTTTTTTTAATGGAGTGTCTTCTTTTGATCACACTTGTTGACATTTCAAATTGAAAATCAGTCTCCTAGAAGCAACCACTGTGAGCCTCCCTAAAACCACACTGGGACTTCTCACTTTTGTCCATCCAGTAATACACTACCATGCACCTGGCACTGTTACGTGCAGAGCAGTGAAATCAGTGAATACAGTATTGATATAGTGAGAATGACTTGTATGTGGCCTCTAAAAGCCCATAATAGCAACTTAATTGTTTTATCTATTTTTAAATACGTAATCACATCTACCTAAGAAAGAAAAACAATTGACATTCCTCCTGTGTATCCATTACTGCGTGCTACGAGTTGCCTTTACTGATAGCAATCTGAGATGGTGTTGCTTGCACATGATTTAAATGAAAACAAATGCCTAAATGTAGCCCTTGGAGTTAGTTCAGACTGACCCCTTCCTGTGTGGTAAGAATATTGTTTTGTGATCCAGACTTACGTGATGTGTGAATACAGCCAGAAAACAGACAGCAGCTTGGCCACAGGTTTTCAGTCAGCAGTCTGAGTTTTTTGGGGCTTTAGTGCCTGTGCAATCTCAAGTTGTTTGAGTGGGACCTGCTTTTCCAGAACTGGCATTTGTTTGCCTTCCAAGATGCAGAGGTACCCGCAGTTCACAGACTGGTTAAGGGTGGAAGAGACCTTTGGAGCTCACCAGGTACAACCCTCAATTCAGAGCACTCCACAACGCAGAGAAACTAGGAGCTCGTTTTAAATCTGAAACTGCCTTAAAGATGACACTTTGGCTCCTAAGCAGCACAGTGATCTTGAAAATTTTCAACCCCTGTTCTTCTGTGAAGAGGTGGAACAATAAAGGCAGGTCACTGAGTAAGAATGTACCTCCCTACAGGGCAAGGCATGTGTCCCAGTCTCATGTGGACTGAACTGACGTGTGCTAAAGGCTGCTTTCAAATGACTGCTGTAAACAGCACTTAATGCTGGGGCTAGGGAGGCCCTCCATATGGCATTTCCTTGTATCACCTCCCTGTGCTTTGCTGGCTGCTGGGATGTTGCAGCACTGCAGCACCCAGTGATGCTCTGACCTTTTAATGGCACGGAGCACTGTTCAGTGTTATCTTTCTCATTTGTTTCATTCTGTCAAACCCCCACAGGGGGAAACTGGAAGAAACAAAACTTTTGAGACTTGAATCTTATGCACTTGGTTTCTCCTTGTGAAAAATAAATATTTGTGTAATAATCTATGGAACTCATAAAGCAGCTGTGAAATTATCTCAGTGTAAGATCTTGTGAGCGGATCCAGGATGTAAGAAAACAGCAGGCGAGATCTTGTCTACTCTTCTTTGAGAATAGTGCAAAACATCTGTCAATGAGAATACTGCCAACAAGTCAAGTTTGAAAGGCAGCTGTAGTGTATATGGCTGTACCTGCTGTGTTGGTGAGCACAAAAGGCTTTTGTGGGATGCAATGACCAGAAGAGTGCTGGGCAGCTGCTCCTCTCCCTCCTGCGAGAAGCACATTCCTGATGCCAGCCCTGTGCTCCTGTGTGCATCCAAATTCATATCTTCTTATTCTGCTGAGCCTTACCTTTTACCAGCCTTGACCCTGCCCTTAGAAGGTTCCCAGTTCTCTCCTACCTCCAACTACATTTTCTGGCTACTTACTGCATATCAGCTGGGAACATTAATGTATATCAAATTTATATTTTGAAGAGTGGCTTTTGTTTTTATTTACACGCTAATTCAATATGTCACCTGGCATCATTTAGACTTTTCTAGTCAGGCTCCCTTTGCA